GATTTAAGTTGCTTCATGATGAATGGGTTGACAAAAAAGCTTACCACTGGCTCCAAGCAACTGAAATCTTGAAATTGCTTTTCAGATTGGTCCAGAAACATCCCGAGATGGCCAGTCGCAAGGACCCAAAATTGTGGTCATTTGCCTTTTTTTTTTTTTTTTTTTTTTCATATTTGGAAAATGAACCAGAGACTCTGATCTTATTTGAGACATCCATAATGTCAGTTTACTTTGAAAATTTTCACAGATCCCATTATTTGAGCCATCTCCTTGTCTTGAAGATCCGGATTTAAAATCCAGGGATATTGCCAAGGAAAGCCAGATCAAGTAGCTGCAAAGAATCACTTAGCTTTCTAACGTGTTTATTGAATTTGTCAGGGTTAGATTGTATGAACTCTTTTATCTGCTCTATTAGAGATAAAAATCTTGATAGAACTTTACCTCTGCTTAGCCATCAGACTTCTGCATGCAATATGAGGTCGACTATTTTATCTTTGGAGTCTTCCAGCAGTGCTTTAAAAAGCCGGTGTTGAAAAGGAGCCGTATAAATAGAATTGATAATTGATGTGACAACATTTATGACGTGTTTAAATGGAAGTATTTTTGTGCACAACGCTTCGTAGTGAATGATGCAGTGATAAGACATGAAATTTGGAAAACACTCGTCTTTTTTTAACAAAGCCCTTTTTTCTTCCTGTCATGGCAGGTGCTCCGTAATTGCAAATAGCTTTTTAAGCGGCAAGCCAATTTCTGTCGCTAATGTATGTATTTATGCAGTAAAAATTAATGATTTGATTAACAGACGCTGAAAAAAGTGTACCAGTTTTGAACTGATAGCTTTCAATCCATTTTTATATGCATGTAAAATCTTTGAGCCAGCAGGCACATAGCAGATTTTGTGCAAAAAGTATGAAGTGTATTTAGGAGGAAATATATATATATAGTGTGTGTGTGTGTGTGTGTGTGTGTGTGTATGGTTACAAATTTAAATGCAGGTTAATTTAGAATTTTAAGCAGTATGAGTGTAATATTAGTAGTAGATGTAAAAGACTTGGTTCGCCAAATTTTATGAACTGAATTTAGCAGAAAATTGTGTTCTCTACAGTTTTAGTGTATGTATGATATTGAAATCAATTATTACATGCATTTTAAAGTAAAAGATGAAGTATTCAGGACAGTATTTTAAAGTATCTTTTTCATGTAGGCATGGAAAGTACACTGCTGGCCATCAAAATTGCAACAACTTATAGGAAAGCAAATACAAAAAAGATATTTATTGCACATAAATAGTAAGTCATGAAAACAAAATGATTAAATTTATAAGCATTTTGAAGGTTTACAGGGGTGAGAAATTAGTAGAAACAGCTGCCACCCATGGCAGCTAAAATGACCCTTGCCCCAGTAGGCATGGAATCAAACTGGGATTGGATGACAGAAATGAGCAACTCATTCCATGCTGCTTCAAGTCTATGCCACACTTCATCAACCATATTAGCTTGGAGAAGGGTGGCAGGCCAATCTCTCAGCAACCCATGACCATATGTTTTCAGTGGGTTACAGATCTGGAGAGTGTGTAGGCGAGGGCAGCAATCAAAACACGATGTGCAACATGTGATCTTGCATTATCTTGTTGAAACATGCTGTTTGGGGGCCTGAAAGATTGAGCACAACCACTGGACGTAAGATGTCAGAAATGTACCCATTTGCTTTCAAATTACTGTTGATTCAAACTAGATATGTGCTTGTTGTGTGCCCAATGGCTGCCCAAACCATTGCACAAGGTGCAGGGCCTCTATGCCAATATCGAATGCAAGCAGACAATTTGCAATCTCCTCGGACACTCCAGACACGTATACGGCCTTCAAAATACTGCACGTAGAACCAGGACTTCTTTGAAAAGGTGACATTTTGCCACCCCCGTACCCAGCTTTGTCGTTTGGTGAACTAGAGTCACCGTCTCTTTTTATGCTGCATTGTCAAGGGAAGCTGAAGTAATGGTCACCCTGCTGTTAGTCCACGCTGCTGCAAGCGTTGACACACCTTAAAAACTGATGTTGGGCATTCTGCAAACATGCCCCATTTCCTGATGGTCTATGATGTGGTCGTATGGCTTTGCAGGGCTGACCTCACAATATGTCTGTCTTCTCAAGCGTTAGTCACGGGAGGGCTTTGCCGATCCTGCATGCCGTTCAGTATGACCCTCAGCAACTTGTTGATTCCATATTCGCATGACAGTGGTTGGATGTTGATCAGTGTGACCGGTGATATCACGGAACGATAATCTGCACTTTCGATAGGCAACAGTTCTGCCTGTATCGAATTTCAAAACTTGCTGATAAGCATTTCTTCTTTTTATTCGAGGCATACCGTGATATTCTATTTTGGTCAAAATCCAACCTTACAAAGCACTTTCCAAATGAGAAATCCACTACACAGCTTTTCTTTTGTGCAGTGCTTCAGATGTCTTTTCTACATTCTGTGTCATCTAAATGCATTGAAATATTAATCATTTGCATATCCCAACTGTGATTTTGATGGTCATCAGATCATTCCTTCCTGATGTTTCAATTTTAATGGCCAACAGTGTATTTAGATAGAATCTGAACAATTGTGAGTATTTAGTTGAGACTTCTGAAAACTACAAGAAATATCTCTTCTGATAGTATTTTGTTACAATTTTCTTTTCACCTGGGGTAAACATTTGCTTAAATTTCATATAGAGGTCATAATTTTCTTTACAAGAATTTTTTTTTTTTAATAAAAAATACATTCTGATAAATTAGACATGTTTTCTGATCTCTAAAAACTTGCTTGTGCCTCAGAGTTATATGATAATTTCTACAAAATATTTCATTTCAAATGCAAACATGTCAGCCATATTGTTCAAAAAAGCAGCCATTAATTTACTTAAAGCTACCATTGAGCTTGTACTTAAAATTTGCTGTCAGATTTAAAGATCGATTTAACGTTTCGGGATTTGAGTAACAAAGTTAATAGTTAACAATAGATACAACCTTGATGATTTTTTTATCTCTTTAATCTTTGTTACTTGAATTCCATGTTTTGTCCTCAGAAACTAGTGACGTGCATATATACAGTCAAAAATTTTTTCCTTTTTAAAATAAAATCCGTGCGTCCATACCTCTGCCCAAATCTCAAACTACAACATAATACGTTTGCGCAGTGATATGCTTTAATGTATAACAGATTTTAAGCTATGCTAAATTCTCTTATTATTATCAGTTATGTTGTTCTTAATATTCTATTGGATCTGGTTTTTTTGCAAGACTGTTAGAGCACTTTTAATAAAATAAGCTTGACTGTCGATTATGTCAAAATGGAATTTCGATTCTGGAGCTGTCCCAGAATCTCAAAGCAAAGCATGTTCGATGTCCATCAACAAAGTGGATTGGCTCTAAAGAAGAGGGATCAGGCATATCCTTTGTTTCTCTAACCATTCCTAATCCTGTTTATCAATTTCACGCTGTTATGCGGGGGGGGGGACGTCCGTGGCACGCATTAACTGGAAGTTGATCTGTCATCCTTCGTCACCTTCAAGGCAGGGTTTTTATTTTATTGGCTATATTACTGATAGATGTAAGTACAGTCAAAAGTCGTTAATCCGACTCGTCGGGACTTCGGGATTCCGGATTTGGTCATTAGTTTAAATCGGTAAGATGGCATGCAGAAATTTAAAATAAAAAATATGAACCATAATTATGAAATAAAGAACAATTATGATCTAAAGGTATCAAAATTTAAAAAAAAAAAAAAAAAAGCTTAATATTTATCTGTTACTTTATTCTCGCTAGCGGAAGTGAATTATAATGACGAGGAATTTGTTAAATCATATCAAGACAGAGTACATCGAGATGAAATAACTTTATAAGAATATACCAATAATAAATACATTGCCCTGAAGATAAGGATGTGCTGACAAATTCACCCCCCCCCGTTGTCCCAGCGCGCAGCAGAATTTAAACCAGATTTAATGTTTACATTTTTTCAATTTTTTGCAATTCCACTTTTTGTTTAATGACTTCAAAACATACTTCGCTTGTAGTCCTACATAGTAAATATATATCGGAAATCATTGACATAATCGAAAGTCAGCTTACTTTTATAATTGCTCTACCAGTTGCAAAAAATAATAAGTCGGATCCAAGCGAAGATTAGGAACAAACGAATCGGCAATTATCTGAAGAGATAATTTTAGCTACTTATACCGTCCTGTTATACATTAAACGCGCATGCATAAACGTAGTTTGGGCATCGTAATGCTACTCATACGCAGAAGTTTGAGCTTTAGGTCCGGACTTGGGTGTCCGAATTAATGACTTTTGACTAGTCATTAATTCTTCCTCCGTCTTTGATATGATTTCAATCAAATTCCGTCATTATAAATATCACGAATACACATCCAAATAGTTTTCTGTTGCAATTTTCTAATTTCGACTATGCGTAATGTATGCTTTATGCATGCGCACATTGAAAGAAATGTTTAATAAAGTAAAGAAATAAATATTAAGGTTTTTTTTTTTTATTTTGATACTCTTTAGATCATAATTGCTCTTTATTTCATAAATTACAGTTTCATATTTTTAAGTTTATAATTTCTGCATGCCATCTTACCAGATTTAAATTGATGATCTATAATGCAGAAAAACTGATAATCCGGAATCGCCGAAGTCTTGACAAGTCCGGATTAAAGACTTTTGACTGTACTAGCTTAAAAAAATTTATATAACTAGTATTTCTATAACAGCAATAAAATATTTTTTATGTAATTTTAAACAAAGTATATTATAAAAGAAACTGAAGTCATTATCTGAAGAATATGAAGCATCATAAAGTCTAGGTAGATACTTATGAAAAGTGTTGGTAAATTAATAAATATTTATCAGTTTATGTCTGGTGTGCTTACTATGTATTATATCTTACAAATTACTACATTTTTCATTCATTGTATAACATTTGAGATACATTTTATATTATTTCAGAATGCAAGACCATCTGAACAACCACAGTTGTCCTTTCGTAATAATCTTTGAAAGACTGTTATGAAGGTGACAAAAGAAAAATATTTTCCATCTGAAAATGAATCTTTTTGCATCGCATGTAATAAGAGTCCAAATCATAAGCTGTATGCCAATTTAAGAACATGTTTTGGAAAGTTAAAAGTGTTTATTGTTATAGCTTAATAAATTGTAATGTGCAAGTCAGTGATAACTATGATCTCAGTTTGTATTTCAAAATTTGTAACATTATTGAGATTTTAAAATTTGTAACATAGCTATCTCACTTCAAACTTGTGTAAATTTATTTTAGATAGTAGCTCAACAAATGTGTTATCTTCTGTGATCTATTTGTATAGCAGCAAAAATTTAATTCAAATACTGCCTTTTAATTAGGCAAAGTGATACTTGCATATTGTCTTTTCTGTCCAAATTTTAGCCTTGAATGTTAGCATCAATCACCACATTTGGTAATTTCGCCTCTATCATTGTATAGTGACATGGATTTGCACCGGACCTGTACATTAATTTCCACGTGAGGTGGTTAAACTAAAACCATCTGGAATTTCTGCAATTAAGTCATTTATATTCTGCTTTTCCATATTTTTAAGAATAAATTTTAACATTGCAAATAAAATATTGTTGCTGTCCAAGCCACCATTGAGAATTTCTGGTAGCCATATTGGCACTAAAATCTAATTCAAAAGTTTTGCAACAACATTTTGACTGGCAGGATAATTTCTAAGTATAGAAAAAATTGCCAAAAAACTTTCATATAGAAAAATTTTAATTTTTGAGCTTAATTACTTCACTGTTTCTCTAGCTGATGTTATAATATGGTATTTTTCATAAAAAAAAAGTTATAACATTTGCTTGTAGTATTTATATTAAAAGTCTGTCAATGTTAAATGTATTTGTTCCTTTTTGTTCTGTATGTAAGTTATAGAATAGTGTATGTGTCAAATTTTTATTTATTATGCCCCTTTTGGCATTCTGTAGTTTATTTATTACATGTAGCACAATATATAAGCATGTTTGTTTATTTATTATTTAAGAAAATATTATTTTGACACTTGTGTATGTTAATGTAAATTTCAGTATTCACAGGAAAATGTAATTTATTTTTAATGAATTTAATTGTTATATAAATTTGTTTATTTTTCAAGTAACAATAACTGTATTATATATATATTCCATTTACTTTTAAGTGTAATTGTTGAAATCTTAAATATATAGATTAATGTATGAATTTCTAAATCTAATTCAAACTGTCCAAAGTGTGATTCAAATTGTCAAGATATTCAAATGTAATTTTAAGTTTTGTAACATAAAAAGCAGTGCTGTATGTCAACAATTCTTATGAGATCAAGTGTTCATGAATGAAATATTAAAATGAACTATATTTCTAAAGTTCTAAGGTATTTTATGATGTTTTAAATTGTATATCTCTATAGTATTGAGAATTAGTGTATGACTTGGTGCTTATATAAAATATTCTGCTCAACTGTTCTTAAATATTGAGTAAGTTCTAAAAAAATTGCATTTATTGTATATTATTTTTTCAAATATACATTTTTAGAAAAAAAGTCTTTGTATATTAGTGAGTTTTCGGTTTTTGTCTTTGAAAGCCGTATAAACTTAAATCAATAAATTGAACTTCATTTTCATTCTCATAGTGATTATTTTTTGTGGAAGGTCATATGATATCAAATTAGACTCATTTTTAAGTTTTAAAAAAAGAATCGACATGATCAAAATAATTTTAGGTTTTTTTTTCCTTTCATTTGTATTGTGTTATGAATACTTGAAGCACATTCCTAAGATATTTCTATCACTAACCATGATAATGAGATTTATGTATCGTCATTGCCAAATTAGCCAACAGATAAATATGTGGGACCTGTATTCCAGAAGGTGTCTGACTTATGTATAAGAAAAATTTTTAAGATTAATTTTTTGGATTGTTAAATATTTTTCATGTTTTTAGATACTTGTACTTAATTTACATATGCTTTCTGCATTTGAATGATATTGCAAAGTAGTTCACAGCAATAATTAATCTTTTATTTGTATATAATTTAAAATTTAAATTATCTTTATATGAATGAGAAAATATTTGTTAAATTCAAATTTTATATATGTACATAAAGATACTTAATAAGAGGCAAAAATTAAAAACACATTTTTTATACCTGTCCTGCACTATAGCTGCAGAATTTAAGTAAAATAAACTTTGAGCATCTAAAGTTAAAAGTAAATTGGAGTTAAAGCAAGGCAATTCCTGAACAGTATTAATAACTGCATCCTTGTATAAGGTTTAACACATTATCTAAACAATTCAGAATTTAAAAAAGGATCATAGTAATACAGACTCAAAAACTAAAAATGCAAAAGGGAAAAATGTACAAAAAATAAAAATATAAAAATTAATCTCCTTTTACTGAAACTCCAGTTCAGAACTCATCAGGGCAAAATGAATTAAAGCTTCATAAAATGCTTCGAAAGCATGTTTCGTTCTCTTGGTTCGAGATCGAAAACCGAAAAAAAAACAAGTGAATAAAAATTTAATAAATTTTTAATAATGTAAAATATTTATATTATTTTTAAATAATGCAAATTAATGTTATTACAGTGGATTCAATTCTATATACTGTGTCTTCAATTCTGTATACTTCCAGCCCATTCGCATATGCTATGTATGCATGATAGCTCCAAATATTAATTATATTGTACATATACATTCATATTTCATTCATTTTCAACTGCAATTGCTATTGTAACAAGTAATATAATTATTTCTTGTGTATTCTATGATTTGTTTTTTATCAGAATTCCGAAAAATACCAGATATAAACTATCAACATAAAATAGAAGAATAAGAAAAAGAGAAAAATAGTCAAACTATAAGATGCATTGTTAAAGTATTTTTCAAAAGAAGGGAAAAAAAACTACACGTACACATCACTAATAAATGAAGAGGAAAGGTTGAAGATTGGGCTGATGTGTGATAGAAAAGGAAGTAGGAAAAGAAGATAAAACAAATGTTAAAACATTATACAAAAGAAATGTGTCATTAAAAAAAGAAGAAAAAAGATAGTCTAATATCCTTTAGCAATATTCAAAACTATGAACAAGTAGCAAAGTACACTGTGTAAGTTAAAAACAAAAGTGGTATTAAAAATAATTAACTGTAATTTGAAATATTGAAAACATTCATATTATCATACCCATTCCTGTATGTTTATCTGCTAAGTTCTTCCTGTAAATCTTCCCTTGAAAATGAAGCACAGTGTGTAATTTTTCCCTTTTTTTATAAAATTAATTAAGTAAGGAGTGAAAATATAACTTGCAAAATATGTGAAATTCTGAATAAGTATTATTAATTCATTTTACCTAAAAATATTATTTGTCATTTTTAGCAAATAGGCTTTTTTGGGCACTTTTGACATTTAATTTTTGATACAGGAACTACAAAAATTTAAAACAATTAAATACAAAATTGCTTTATAATTATTAAAATTCTAAGTATTAAAAATGTTTGTGAAGATGACAATAAAAGTGCAGTGAATTCATTAAGAAATTAAAGTTGTTTTAAAATTTTAATTCTTTTTAAATGAAACATAGAATATCAGAAGGAACACTTTATAACTAAGCAATGCAAATGGAATCACTAATAAAAGAATATCTGTATAGTATTAGACTAGAAGTATTCATAAACAGGAATGTTGTACAGAATTTTTTTCCTTTCTTAATAAGTTAGATGATAATGGAATAAAGACTAACTGTGGCTGTGGAGAATATAGTCTGAAAAAAAAAAAAAAATCATTTATCGTTACATTTTACAACATAATGATGTCTGTAGTGTTACTGTTTTCTAATTATAGTTACAATTTTGACCTTGAGGATATTGGCAGAATTTTAAAATTAGGGTAGAATCTCACAGTTTCATATATGTTTCATTGCATTCTATGTAATTTCATTCAAATCCATTTTTAGTATGAACTAGAGTTATCTATGTAACCTATGTGTCACATTTTATGGTATTACAGTAACATTTCTGTAACTTTACTGTTATTTTCATTCTTAAGTTTAAACAGAGTAGATGATGATAATGTAACAATATATTAACAGTTTTATTTGTATAAAATAGTTTTTAAAATCTACTATGTCATAAATTCCCCACTCATGATATAACCTTTGTCTTTCCTGGAGAGTGTCTGTTCTGTAACAAATACCATTGAAAAAGGCTTCTCTTTGTAACTCTAAATTTAAATAATTCATTATTTCTTTTATTTTGTAATGTGATGAAATACCTACACTGAAATAAAAAAAAAATTGTTTATATTTACTTGTTTGGCAAATGGTATATCTAATATACACAGTGCATCAAAATATGTGGTTATAACGAACATTTATCACCAAAATAACTTTCTTAATAAAGGAAAAAATACAGGAAAGCAGTACCTTTAGTGCAGGTAATAAGCACCACCTAAGTTTTTCAAAGCCTTTGGCCCAGAACCTTGGTGGCGAATCCAAAAACGGATTAACTTCATTTTAGATGTCCTGTGCAGAATGAAAGAAGCGCCAGCAAGTTGTAGCTGCAGGAGTAACAATTTATATAAATTATTACTGAACATAAGGAAAATAAAGTAGTTGAAGAATGTTCAGTTAGTGATGCTGAGAACGGTTATTTCATGCCGCGTAGACCCGTTATGAGGAATGATAAATCCGCCATTGAAACGAGGATGGTCTTTGATGCTTCTTCAAAAAAATATCAGTTTAAATCTTTAAATGATTGTTTATGGTCAGGACCTAATTTAAACCCAAACATTTAGATATTATTATCAATTTTCGAAAACATGAAATTGCATTCTGTAAGGTTCTTTTTCTCCAAATTGGCTTAACACCAGAAGACTGAAGGTATCTGAAATTTCTGTGGTTTGATGATATGGCAGTTAACTTATTCAAAATTTTAAGATTTATGCTAGTACCATTCGGTGTTACTTCTAGCTCCTTCATTTTAACTGCTACTGTCAAATATCATATTGAGAAATATAAGAAAGGGCATTAAAAAGTTTATGAAGTGTTAGACACATCCCTGTATGTTGATGGTTTAAATTTGTAATTTCTGGTTTAAATTCTGATGAAGAGGCATACTATTTATCTTCTACTGCCGCTAAAATTCTTAAAGATGCTGGGATGCATTAACGGAAATTTAATTATGAGAAACTAAGAGAAATGTGGAAAGAAAATATGTTATGCAATGAACAAGAAAATTCTGGTCTCCCTTTAAAAGTTTTAGGAATACTATGGAATATCGATTCTGATGCCTTTCAACTGGATGTTCATTCTCTTATAAGTAACCTAAAGAGTGTCAAACCTACAAAGCGTTGTGTTTTAAAGTCTGTGCTAAAGGTATATAATCCTGTAGGGTTTATATCCCCATTCACCGTACGAATTAAAAGCTTACTGCAAGCTATTTGGAAAAGAGGTTTTGGCCTGGGATGATGAGTTACTCCTAGATTTGGAAAAAAAATGGAAAGGTTGGTGCTCTGAAACGGGACATCTTAAGAGATCAGAGATACCTAGAAAATATTTCCAACAAGAAATGAATTCGATAAAAGATCAGGTACACATCCACATTTTCTATGATGCTATCCCTAAGGCATTTGGTGCAGTAGCCTATTTTAGGTACTTCACTACACATAATGAAATTAAAACAAGTTTCATGTGGTCAAAAAGTAGCGGTCACGGACACTTAACTGACAAGACATTTAGCCAACAGGGACACTTAGCCGACAGGACATTTACCCGACGGGGACACTTAGCCGACAGAACATTTAGCCGATAGGACATTTACCCGACAGGGACACTTAGCCGACAGAACATTTAGCCGATAGGAGATTTAACCGACACGGACACTTAACCAACAGGTCATTTAGCCGACACGGACAGTTAGCCGACAGGACATTTTGTTGCCATAGAGAGTTAGCCGTCAAGACATTTAGCTACGAGACACTTAACTGTCAACACATTTAGTCGACAGTAACATTTATCTGACACGTACCCAATAATTATTCAAACTTACTATCAATTACAAAATTTCTCGACTTCTCCATAAGTTCAGTATTTAAGTTATTTTTTCACTATTAGTAAAATTCATTTTTCGGTTCTTAAAGATCTCATATATACTTTTAATTATTGTGTTAATTTAGCATTGTTTGATATGTATCCATGGACCTTATAAGAAATAGACCAACCCAAATGGGTTTTTCTGCTTTGCCTTGGCATATTGCCAGTTGTCACCTTGACCACATCCGGAGGAGAAGGGATGACTTGCAGAAACTTAACAATAGTTTACAATAGTCTATTGCAGCGCGTGTAATTTTCAAGAAAAAGCTGGTGATAGCGCCTCATTTCATAAATTAGAATTTTTAGATATTTTTATTTTGGAAACTGAGATTGATTTTTAAAAATTTAGTATGTTTATCAAGCATAATTAATGTTCTAAATAATTATAAAACTGTTGCATGCTTTCAGGTCTGGATATTTTTTTAGCTTTTCCTATGCTGTAAGGAAATTTGTATCTCCTTCTTTTAAAAAATAATATTTTAAATCTGAACTAATAGAAAAATTCAAACAAACAATTTTCTCTTACAATTTTTAT